ATTAGACATATATAAATCAGCAGGACCGGATGAACTCCACCCAAGAGCGCTGCAAGAGTTGGCTGAAGTAATCCCAGAGCCCCTGGCAAAGGTCTTTCAAAAATCATGGGCCTCTGGAGAAATCCCAGAGGACTGGAAGAGGGCCAATGTTGTGCCCATCTTCAAGAAGGGGAAGCCTGAGGACCTGGGAAACTACAGGCCAATTAGCTTAACTTCTACTCCAGGGAAAATCCTAGAAACATTCATCCAAGAGGCTACATATGACCAACTTGCAGAAGGCATGATCCTGAATGACAGCCAGCATGGCTTCATCGCGGGCCAGTCTTGTCTAACCAATCTCATTTCTTTCTATGATCAAGTGACTCATCACCTGGATGAGAGAAAAGCAGTGGACATCATATGCCTCCTACCTGGTATCCCACAAGGTACTGATCAGAAAACTGGAAGATATCGGGCTCAACTGTGGGACTGTCAACTTGACGGCATCAAGTGGGTGCAAAACTGGTTGCAGAGTAGGATGCAGCGCGTCCAACTGAATGGACCGGTGTTGTCCTAGCACGATGTGGGCAGTGGCATATCCCAGGGGTTAGTACTTGACCCAGTGCTGTTCGACATCTTCATCAACGACCTGGATGAGGGGCTGAAAAGCCCAGTGGCCAAGTTTGCAGATGACACCAGATATGGGGGTGTGCGGACACAGCCGCAGATAGGCTGCAGATACAAGCAGACCTAGACAGGCAGGCATTTGGGCAGGACAGAACCAGATGCGGTTCGACGTAGAGAAATGCAAAGTGCTGCGCCTGGGAAGGAAGACCCTGCAGCACTCCTACATCGCTAGCCTGACCAGCACCACGCCTGAAAGGCATCCGGGGGTCACAACAGAGCCCGGCGTGAATACGAGCCAGCAATGCGACGCAGGAGCCGCTAGGGCCAAGAAGACCCTGGCGTGCATCAATCGATGCATCTCCAGTAAATCCAAAGTGATTCTGCTGCTTTACTCAGCATCGGCGTGGCGCGCTGCAGCAAGGCCGCGGCAGAGCTCGAGAGGGGCCGGAGAAGGCCCGTGTGGTCAGGGCCTTGCAGGGCAAGCCAGAGGAGGAGAGGCCGAGGGACCCGGGCCTCGTCAGCCTGGAGAAACAAAGGCCAGGAGGGGGCCTGCTTGCGGCTTCCCGCTACCGCGGCGCCCTGGGGGAAAAGTAGAAACAACGGCCACCAACTCCTGGAAGATGGTTTCAGGCTGAACATGAGGAAAAACTTCTTCACAACGAGGTGCCCGGACTATGAGACGAGGGGCGGTGCAAGCATCTACCTGAGAGGTCTTCACGGGCAGCCTGGACGGCCCCGGGGCGGGGGCGGGGGCGGGGGCGGG